GGAACAAGATTTTGGAGTCAGAAAAACATGGGTTGATTTCAGGTTTTGCCACTTATTAAAAAATGTGACCTTGGACATTGTTACTTAACCTCTCTGAAAATTGCTTTCTTACGTATAAAATGAGAATAGTACATCTCAATTTCATTGTTGTTAGGATTAAATCAGACAATGCAAGTAATGTGGTTAGCACAGTTCTGGAACTAAGGCCTCAATAAATGATAGCTGGCATTATTAGCAACTCTGAAAGATAGGAGGTACTTACTCTGTTTCATGGAGAAGGAAACAAACTCATAGAAGTTAAATGATTTGTGAAGGCCACATGTAGTAGGTTGGAAAACTCAGTTTGGTTGTTTCCTAAGCCCATGTTCTTGCTACCATATCCTGCTTTTTGAAGTAATTTTGGTAAATGGTAATTCCACAGCAAGATATACCATGGTTTTTTTGGGTTACAGGGCTGGGTGGACAGACAAGAAAGGTATGGGATGGTTCTTGAAAGGGCAGGGTTCTTGTAATATTTGGAAGCCACAATTTCCAGAAGCCAAGGATACGGTTATAACTAAAAAGTTGAGAAAACTTGTTCTGATATTTTCCTGTTGGTTTGTTGCTATGTTGACTGCGAAGAATTTGTTTGATTTTAAGTGCTTTTTATGCTTTCCTGTTACTCAGGTCCTATCATATTTAGAGTTTTAAGGAACTATGCATATTCTTTTAAACTGGATTAAGAAAAATGTACTTGTATATTGAAGGCCCCAAATTGGAGCTAGACAGGAAAGGAGGAGGGAAGAGGGGGGCAGATACCAAGAAATGGGTTAGTGGACACAAAACAGCTAGTTAGGAAAAACAAGTTGTATTGATGTACAGTCAAGCTAGGCATCTATAATTAGAAATAATTTACCACATTTTATCAAATGACGAGAAGATAGGAGATCGAATGTCCTCAACACGAAGAAATGATTACGTTTTACAGTGATTAAAAAGGTAATTAGCATTAATTATCCTGACTTGATTATCACACATTGTACACAGGTATTGATATCCAACTCTGTACCCCACCAATATGTACAACCAATTACGTTTCAATACAAGAACAAAAATAAAAAATTTTTAAAAATTTGGAGCTAGAATGTTTGATTGGATTTCTCTTTCCTGCCTCCTCACAGTTACCCTCCAACCCCCTTATATGCCTTTGACCTTTATGGGTCAGATTTTTACATGGCTTGAGTAGCTGCCAATAATTAAAACTTCATAGCCAAACAAATAAGTTGGCTAAACTTTTGGAAAAAACTCAGCTCAATGAAAGTTTTGTGACATGTTGCCGGAGTTTGTTTATAAGATATTTATTTTATAGTACTGTTTTTTAATTAGTGCATATGCTTTTTCGGGGGTTTGTTTTTATTTTTTTAATTACTCTTGGGGTTTTGAACACACCTGCTTTCCACTACTTTTCAGGTCTGCCAAGCTTGCTTTTTTTTTTTTTTTTTTTTTTTTTTTTTTCCG